CTCTGAGAAGGGCTGCATCTCTTTCAACGGAACCATGGTTGCCGCCATTGCGTCGCACAAGGCTGGGAAAACTGCGCGGAGTGGTGCAGAAAAGGATTGTGGGATATCGTGGGATGGCTTTTTTGAGACAAATGCGAGGGCAAATACCTTTCAAAAAGAAACAAATGTGGTTGCGAGGATATTCAGAAACTTACAGAATACTCCTTGGCTTCAGAAGATTCAGCATGTTGTTCTGACCATGGACGAAGATCATGTGGCATGGCAAAGTCAATCACACCATATCACACCCCCCCGATTTGATCGGAGGCTTTCGTATACCACCAGGACGAGTTGCTGATGCAATGCTTCGGCCTCCCACTGCTCTTTGGTGGGCATTGGCCTGTGCTGTGATATCAACTTGATATAACTTGATGGATGATAACATGATGATAACATGCGGAAGCACGAGAAAGTCTCAAACGTCTCAGAAAATTTCAGGAATCTATGGATGTGTTCCGTGGTGGAATACTTATGAATACCTGAGATATGAGTGGACTCTGTTTGGAATAGCTGGAATATCGGGCCTCAGCGCCGCCAAAATGTCAGCAGGGTAGTCGCTGCTTTGAATTCCACAGGATGGCACAAAAATTTGGTCGCCCCAAAAGACCTCAGGAGGACACAGGATTCTAATGGATTCTATGGATAGGACGATGTGACTCATGTGACGCAAATGTAACACAGAGTTGTATACTTTTAATGATAAGGTGATGAATCATCATACTGCTACGAGCATCACATTTGCTCAGAGCGTCGAACGATCATGATTTGGGAATGTCATTGTCTCAACCATGGGGGCTCCTCTATCCGCATTCGTTTGGTGTGTTCGAAACATTTTGACCTCAAACTTGTGAGTATATCATATGTACATAATATATCATAACATACTTGTGTGCATATACATAATATATATACATATATATATATATACACACTACAGTACTATTATAATATATAATATATTATATACAATTGCAAATGTGATGGAGTATGTTGCCTATAAGATCCTATAAGTATATACTATGTTGTGCGAGCGTGTTGCATACTTGGTATTGTATACATATCTGTTCCAGCGAGCCACAGAACATCGACCGCCACGAACAGCACCGTAGCTGCTCGTCTGACCTTGAGACCGGGCTGTGGGCCATGGGGTGCCCCAAGGTTGAGCCATTTTCTGTGGGACGCTTGTGGGATGCTTGTGGGATGCTTGTGGGTAACTTGGCCAACTAATGAGCCATTTATCATGTGTTTAGCCATTTGCTTGATTTTTAAACAATGAGAAACGTTGATAACTCATTTGAATTGGGGGTCCTCTATTTTCAGACAAATCCAAATAGGCTTGTGTGAGGAAAAGGCTTGTAGGGGATGGGGAAAAATCCAAGGTCACTTGTAAAGATTGGGAACCACCATTTTCAATGCAACGATCCAGCTTTTGGGCTCCGTCCCTGGGGGCCCTGCGAAGCACACACTCCAGCACTGTGATGGGCTCCAATTGTCCGTTCACTGACAACAAGCCCGGCAGCTTCACACCTGGCGAAGCATGGATGTCCCCCAGCTGGTGACGAAGTGTGACATCCAATGCTGGATAATGCTGGCTCCATGATCAAAACTGCAAATCCTAGGGTGATCGCAGAAACTACATACATCAAAGACGAGCGGTGTATATTTCTAATCCATACAGAAAATTGCTCTCAGAGCCTTGTTTTTCTTACTACAAATTTGACAAATGGTCTCATCTCAGCCATCAGGTGTTCTCTAGTCTCAACGCTAACCTACCTGCTCCAGAATCCTGATCTCGCTATGGTCCGCAGTTCGAGAATGTCGCTCAAAGGCATCCTCCTTCTGAGGTCTGCACTTCTGATATCTTCTGATGGTCCCAACTGGGGAGATCCAACGTCCCAAACCGATCTCCCAACCAGGCTTCGAAAAAATTCGAACTGTTCGAACCATTCGAACTGTTCGAACCATTCGAACCATTCGAACCATTCGAACCATTCGAACCGGCCTGGCTTGTTGTTGTTCTCCGCCCCAGGCAAAGGTGCCAAACGGGTGCCCTTGCCCGCTGTGTGGTAGATGGCCACTGCCTTCCCTTCATGCCTCGGAACGTGAACGTGAACGTGGCTTCGGGCTGCGGCATCTGCCCCCAGATCTGCACCAAAACTGGGTGCCGCAGCAAAGATTTGGCCAAGTCCACTCCAAGCTTCTCCCCCTTGGAGCATGCCTTTGAACAACAAGATTGGCTGAGAATGGCTGCAGAAATGCATATAAAAATGCAGCATTTTTCAGCAAACCCATGATCTTTCCATATCTTTCCATATACCATCTGGTTATTTAACATAGCCATGGAAAATCACCATTTTGAATAGGTAAACCATCTATGAATGGGCCATTTCCCATGGCTATGTTAAATATTGTTAAATAACCAGAGGGTACTCCCAACATGTTTCACTTCGAATATCTTGTGAGGAAAGTAGCTGAAGGCAACATGTTTGATATGTTTGTAGCACCTTCACAAATGCGTAGAGCGTCCCCAGGCCATTTCCAGCACCACCATTCCAATCCTGGTCAAGAACTGAGGCCTTTCCCCGTGGTCCATCATCATTTCATCATTTCATCATTTCATCATCTCTTCCTACTCAAATATGCAATGATCAATGTATATCAATGTGGTATGTGAATATTGTGACAACACTGGGAAAAGGCCGCATCTTGCAACCTTGCGTGAATTGCTGAACCTGGTCCACCGCTACAAGTGGAATCACACGATTGAGCTATGTCACTCATTACCCTGCCGCTTACCTAGATGTGAAATCCTTAAATCCAAGCAAATAGTGACTGCCTCACAACTCGATCGACCCTTCTTACTGACATTGTCTGTTCATCTTTTCAGAGACAACGAGTGAAGCACTTCCCCGCCCATTCCTCATGGACACAGATGACCGTGGAACTTGTACCGGTGACTTCACGAATGGTCTGCGTGAGTCGCTCCTGCACCATGGGAAGAATACCATGTTTCACCATGGTTCACCAATCTCAAGCCTTCGGTATGCCTTCGGTAGTTCTATGTTGGATGCTGATGGATGCTGATGTTTGCTGAATGATGACCCATCACAGCCTCTAGGACTCTAGGTGCTTGACCTCTCGTCAAATCCTTAACGTAAAATCTCCTGCCAGAAGTTCTCCGCGCTTAGATCAGAGCAGCAAATGATCACATAATCAAAACCTGGCTCAAGTCAGGTGTGGTGCTAAAATCTGCTTCAATCACATACATCATACATCTGCTTTGTGCTGGAAAACATCGATGCCAAACGTGTTTCGATGCCAACGCCTTTCCCTTTTTGAACCACCTTTTTCGAAAAACAGTGCCATAACAAAAACTCCATCATATTCTACAACAACCACAAAAAACTATATATATATATGTATGTATATATATATAATTATATTTATATATATGATATTTTGTGTGTCATATACAACTATCATAGACGATCAGTATCTGCACATTGATTCAGTTCTGGACATTTTGACGACAGCCCGGCGCCGGCCTCCAGGCCCCTGCATCTTCCCAATCTCTTCCAACATCGCCTCCTAGGGCTCCACCGATTTTTGGAGATGCGAAAAATATCTAATCATAGCACATGTATATGATACACAGACTGTATATACAAATTATACCATATATCATCTAAATAGTAAAATATGATTAAATAGTGCACATATATATATATATATGCTAATTTAATGTTAGATATGACATACCAAAGATGATCGAATCATGTCGACATCAACTGTCATCACACTTGGCCCGACATACATACGGACGTTGTACGTTCGAGATGTACGTTCGAGCGCCTCATGGCTGTTGTCAGTGACTGGATGGTCAAGTAGTCAGCTGCATCTCTGTGGTCCATGATGGTCCATGATCTACAAAATGAGACCTTCCCCCACTTATGTTTGCTGGTGTGTAAACCCATCAACATCATCAACTGTAGTTACTGTATATCATGTTGTATCATGTTATATCATGTTATATCATGTTATATCATGTTATATCATGTTATATCATGTTATATCATGTTATATCATGTTATATCACCTTATATCACCTTATATCACCTTATATTCCCCACAAAGCCCAGCTGCACCTCCGATTTCGCCATGGACTTGATAGCGGCCACTCCCAAGTGGCTCAATATGGATAGAGATATATCCACCCACCTGCAAGGCTGCCCCAAGTGGAGTAGTCGGCTGATGCTTGCAACATTTGGAACTGTTAAATTGTAGATAAATGGATGATAATGGATGATACCAGTACTGGATGATAATGGAACACAATGTTAGAATCATTTAGAATCCCAAAAAAGAGTGCAGTCGGATCCCATCGGTTCATTTGGCTCTTCGGTAACACTGTGTCGAAATCGGTCGAAGTGCACTGATCCAAGTTCCATGGTTCCTGCTTCACATCCGCAAAATCTTACTGTATGCTGTCATATGCTGTCCATATCAGCTCTATGGCTCGGCTCTTGAGTCCTTTTGACATTTTTGACAACATCCTTTTCATGCCTTCTTGAAGATTCCCAGTTTCCAGTGAGGGTTGCAATCAGAGGCCCTGACAAGCGTAAAGTGGCAGCAATGTGTTGCACAGAACGGGGCCCGTTTGTGGAGCGCATGTGCTCTCGTGCTCGATCCAACGCTGCGGATGTCATGGGATGTCGTGATGAATATTGCCTCAAGGGTTCAAAGACACTCAAACAAAGGCCAAGACTCCATTTCGTTTACTATGTTTACTCAATACAAAGGAAAAAAACACAGTACACCTAAAAAACTCAGTCCGGACTTGATATCTCAATACAGTTGTTAAAAGCCAGTGTGTATTTACTGGGCACAAAAAGACATCGATGAACAATTGCAGACCTTGCTGGTAGCTTGCCAGTGCTGCTTGTGCGATTTGGTATCCACACGAGACATGTCCAGCTCCTCTTGTTTGGTCTGCTTGTCCATTTTCTGGCGAGTCCGTGATGTGGATGAAACATGATGAAACATGATGAAACATGATGAAACATGATGAAACATGAACACAGGCCCAATATGATCTAACGATATCTAACGTGTCTGAGAAAATGAGTAAAAGCATGTAAAAGCCATTGTAAAGACATGTAGAGACATGTCATTTTATTGATTCCATGGTTGTGTGTCTGTGTCTATGAAAACAAGGGATCTTGCTGCTAGGATGTCCTGTTTAGCAATGCATCACTCTGACATGCAACATCATGCAGCACAAGTAACACCCCATTGTCTGCAGCAAAGTGACCACCTCTTGGTGAAAAGCTAGAAACTTCCCGCAACAACATCCGCAATCCCCTCAACTTTCGACCCTATTGCTGAGACTGTAGAGATCTGTAGAGTATGAGTGCCCAGCCAGGTGCAGCCCGTGTGCAGTTTGGTTTCCATGAAGCAACATGAAGCAACTTTGCATGAATCTCCCCAGTCTAGTCCAAGAAAGTCAACAGTGCTACACAGGTTATCCATGGTGCAATGGTGCCTCTTGTCGAATGGCTTCTTGACGATCTGCCCTCGGAGATGGTGGCTGTGGCCGGCTCGGTGCCAAGAAGCTGGCGCTGAGTTGGTGGCTTTCGCTGCCGGGCCGCTGCGATGGCCTATCAAAACGGATCCAACAGCTGCCCAAATCTCCAAACCAGGAGATGGGAAAGCAAAAAAAAGTCATCTCCCCCGTAGCAACAGAGCCATATGATCGAAAAACGTCAGTTTGAACATGTTTGAACCGCATCCCAAACTGCAAATGATCTCAACTCTTTTGAGGTACCCCTGTGCCTCGTCTAAACGTTCTTCTTCAGCAGCCTGCATCCAGCTGTTTTGGGCACGGCGTTTAGGCGTTTAGGCATTTTCCCACTGAGGCATGTCTGGTTTTTGAGGCTGAACATCTTGGATATGGCAAAAGTCACTCACCTAGGAGGAAGAGCAAGTCGTGGTTTACAGGCGCTTTTGCGAACTGTCCAGTCTCTTTCAAGTCTCATTCCCTGCATTCCCTGACCTCACCACTTGGAACAGTGGGACCCCTGGATTCGCCGACCTGGTCCTCTTTGATGTGCTGGATCTCAGCATCTGCGCGGGCTCGCCAAGCCTTGGCTCCGCTGTGGGATTTCACATGGCTAGAAACAGCTACAACATTGCGGAAAAAAACACGATTGGACGACAAACAAACGTACCAGTTACAAAGTGCATTTTCGGTACGTGAAACTCTGATTGGATCATTCAGAAGCTTCAGAAAGGCCGCCTTGTGTCGCTTCTTAATGTTCTTTTCTCGAAGCTCGTTCAACCGATCATTCTCGGCCTGGAGTGGAAGGTCTCCGTACACAATGGCTATGGCAACATACCCCCGATTGCTTTGATGGCCTTCTTTCGGGCTCTGAGCTCGGTTTGCTTCTTCAGAAGCGAGAGCCTGAAACCGGGAAAGCCGCGGTTTTTCTGATGGTTTCAGGTGCGATCAAACCCTGGTGAACATCAGGTGGCAAATGAATATAATGAATGTCAAATCAAATACTGTAAAATACTGTAAATCAATGGTAATTCATGCACATGATATATAAATATATTATATATAATATATATAATATATATAATATATATAATATATATATATAATATAATATATATATATAATATATAATATATATATATAATGTCTATAATATATATATATAATATAATATATATAATATAATATATATATATGTATATATATAATATATAATATATAATATAATATAATATAATATATATTATATTATATATAATATATATAATATATATAATATATATAATATATAAAATATGTATAATATATAATATATAATATATAATATATAATATATAATATTATATATATAATATAATATATATATATAATATAATATATATATAATATATAATATATATATATAATATAATATATATAATATAATATAATATATATATATAATATATATATATTATATTATATATATAATATATATATAATATAATATATATAATATATATATATATAATATATATATTATATTATATAGTATAATATATATAATATATATAATATATATATAATATATATATATAATATGAATTGTAATGAGCCATTCACGGGAAGATGGTACCATAGGTTTGACCCATGATTTATATCAAAATGTCCATATATCTCCATCCCATAACTGCTTCGATTCATGATTAGTCACCCCACATTCTCAAAGACCTCAACTTACCCCACTTGACCCTGTGGATCCCTGTGGCCGGGCCCAGCAAGTTGTGCTTGGAATATCTTGGAAATGTACTGCAATCTCTTGCATTGATGAAGCCTTTAAATATTTTAAATTCACATCCCAATAACCCTCTGGTAATTTAACATAGCTATTGAAAATGGCCCATTTATAGTTGATTTACCTATTAAAAATATTTAAAAATTGTGATTTTCCATACAAGTAGTTATGTTAGTTTACCAGAGGGAATGCCCAATGGGCCCAATGTCTTCCTGCAAGAGCCATGGGCCATGGTCCAAGCCCAGCACCTCTCTTGCTCTCGCTTCTGCTGCTGTGCTTCATACCTCAAATGGAAAGCTCAGCACATGGAAAGCGCAGCTGATTTGCCGTGCAAAACAGCATCTGCCTTGGTGATGGATTTGGGTCTCCAACTTTGAAGCCCAACAAAAATATCCAACAAACACAACTCATTGCAAATCCAAGAGGCTCTTCCCTTAAAGCCTCACAGAAAATATCTCAACGTGTCTGGAAGTATGCAAACACCAAGAGACCATGAGCTTCCCGTAGCACCTGGAGTTGTTCGCGCTTCTTCCGCTCTTCAGCCTGAAAGGAGATTTTCGGAGATATGGGTTTCAGATGGTTTCTGAATATTTCGATTCTGGACTCAGATCATCAGCTGGCTACAGGAGGACCGTGAGATCCACTTTTCAGCAGGTAATTTTCCATTCAGAACTCCCTTTTTTTTCGATCGAAAAAAGCACACCCTTCCAGGCGAAGGTGTCACCGTCCAGTGCTAGCGGCCCAGCGGCCGAGTGGCCGCCGGCCTTCTTTCTGCGTTCGAAGTCTTGCTCTTTGGAGCGGATGGCAGCCTGGCTGGATCGGGATGCAAATCCCATCGATGGGACATGACGACAGGACTTCCACCTCACGCTTTAATCGCTTGAGCGTCTCCGCATCCAAGTCGTCCGCACCCATCGCGACAGCACCAACCTGCCACCAACTCTGCGGCGCGCGGCTTGAGCCATATGATGCTGGGAGCGAGCGAGACTGCAGTTGGGTATTCAATCCTTGGGAGCAATAAACAAGGCACTGAAAAGGGCACGACAAAACACGAAGACATAATGGAAAGATCTGCTGGAACTTGCACTGGAAACTGGGGCTTTCATTTTGGGGCCTTCTACCACTCTATCCGGACATCCGTTCAATTTTCTTCTCACCAAAGATTTCAGGACACTCAAATCTACACAAGATGATCAAAGCACCGAGGCTGCCAGTTTGGACTTGCCTTCCAACGCATCTTCAATTCCACCAGCCCTACTCTATCCGAGCCGGTGGCTACCGGTGGCTATGTGGGGTAGCACCGTTTCTTGCGTTCCGGAGATATGCCATTGCTTCGCGGGTAGCAATGAATCAGTGCTACAATCCCAGCTGTTGCTGGCCTACCTCTCCAGCTTAGCCGGAGGCATTCAAAATGAGTGAATCTTTGGCTTGTACAGGCTCATGCAGTGACTGAGGCAAGTATCAATCAATCCTTTGTCCCTTCGCATTTGCATATAGGGGGTTCCTAAAATGGGTGATCCCAAAAACCATCAGTGTCAATACATGCTCTAATTTAGGATGATTTGGGGGTACCACCATTTTGGGAAACCTCCATATCATGGGACATCAATATGTTGTACCATCTACGATCCAGTAGTCTTGAAAAGGCACCTCCCTGTTCAAAAAATATATATATTTGGCATCTTTGGAGATTGTCATGGAAATTCATGGATTTTCATATCCTATCTTCATACCCTTCCGCAAAATAGAAGTTGGAAAATGTTTGAAGGGTAGGAAAATAGGGTGAAATAGGGATGTTGTGGTATCCTAAATATGTACTTCCCCAAAATAGGATGTGAATGACTTTTCATGGTTCTCTTCCCACCATCTTGGGATTTGCATTGCCATGCATTGCCTGTGGACGCGTGCCGAGTGGAAAGAATCCGGTGGCTCAATCATCAGGTACAAGGCCTTGACCTTCACAGCATCCGTCAGTCACCCCTGTCAAGACTAACATATATTAGAATATTGTGTTTTTACTGGGGTGAATGAATTTGAATGAATCTAATAACATGTTGACTGAATGATGGAAATGAAGAAACATCATGAATTTGAATTCCTGTAAACCTGAAAAAGGGTGAAACTCCATTTGCAGAGAATGTTCTTGCGAGGTTAAGGATAGTCTGTGCAATCATGGCCCCGCGGCTTTGAGAGTGTTTCCTTCTCAAGGTGCGACATTTTGCAATTTGACTATGTTCCTCCCAGGTGTTCAAGAGATTGCATTACTAATCATACTTGGTGGCAGTTCAAGATTTCTCTTCAACCCCCAGGACAGTCCGCAGTGTCTTGAGTGTTCCAAATCAATGACAGTGACTTCATAGTGACGTCATAGTGACTTCCAGTGCCAAACTTCCATAAGCTTCATGCCATGCCTCCAAAGGTGCCCGCCGTTTTGGCCGACTCGTTTCGCACCAGCGCTGGAGAGGCCTGCCGACAGAATCCGACAGAGACACATCTCCGGTTGCTACCAGATGTTCAAATATGTTCAAATGTGTTCAAACATGTTCAAACCCTGAAGGAGGCTTAACATGAGAGAACTTGATGACACTTGCTTTTTATTTCCCCTTCTTTCCCGAAAGAACGGACAGATT